ACTGCAAACATTTACTCTGTGGCTCAGCTGCAGCTTTGTTTTTGTTTCCATGAAGTTTCTAATTTAATTATTACTCTTGTAATAGAATAGAGCCTTGTTTTGATCTTCTACTTATTCTGTTATTTTTTTGAACTTCCTTTTCATCTCATTTTTTTTTTTTCGTTATTCCAACTCTGGGTATTTACTTTATTTAAATTGTTCTCCCTTTCTTTCAAGGAAAGTAATTTTATGGCACATGTCCTTCTGCACCTGCTGGGATGCCTTCTATTCCATCTGCTTTTCTGCAGACTGAAGTGACAGGACAGGGATGCAGAGAAGGAAGCTCAGCTCAGGCTCGCTCTTTGTTGAAGGTCTTGAGCCTTCCTTTTTTTTTTTTTTTTTTTTTTTTTGCCTTTTTGAGACAGCATCTTAACTCTGCTACCCAGGCTAGAGTCCAATGGTGTAATCCTAGCTCATTGCAGCCTCTAATTCCTAGGCTCAAGCAGTCCTCCAAACACAGTCTCCAGAGTAGCTGGGACTACAGGTGTGCACCATCACACCTGCCTAATTTTAAAAATGTTTGTAGACATACAGTGTCACTATGTTGCCCATGCTGGTCTCAAACTTCTGGCCTTAAGTGATCCTCCTGCCTTAGCTTCCCAAAGTGCTGAGATTACAGGTGCGAGCCACCATTCCCAGCTCTATATTTTGAGATTTCTATAAATATTTCATTCCAGAAAACAGTCGACTTTGGGGCTGGGGGAAGAGAAGGAAATACAGCTGATAATCATGGCATAAGCTCCCATCAGTTCAGCAGCTAGAAGCATATAAACCTCTGTATGATGGCTTCCTGTTTTATAATCATCTATTAGCTGTCCTGATTTTTCTATGCAAAAGTTCAAAATGAAAAACAATGATTCACAATGTGTGGGTGTGCCTTCTTCCTTTAAATTTCTGTAGCATCTGATACGTGTTTTTATACAAATGTTTATAAATTATCCTCTAACTAAAACAATGTATAAAATACAACACAAAATGACAATAAGAAAGATCGCATTCTTTTTTAAAAGCATATTTATTGAGATAAAAACTGCATGCCATAAAATTCACCCACTGATTTTTAGTATATTCTGAGTTACGCAATTATTGTTACGATATAAGCTTAGAACATTTTAAGGTTATATACAATTTAAGGTTCAAATAATTTTCAAAACACTAAAATGGAGGCAAAGTGAAAATAGAAGTGATATAACTCATCCTAGAAGGGAGACAGAAACCCTAAGACTGAATGGTCCTTTGGGGGAGGGAGCATAGAAGTAGAACAACCATGGCCATTCTGTGGATAAATCCCACAACAGCAGCCACATGTTTGGACCAGGAGTGCATGTGGGATTCCGAGGGACAATCACACAGGTGAGGAAGAGCCAGAAAAGAGGTATTTCCAAGTCAAGTAAGGGGGAGACTCACAAAATACCTTTGCTCCACATGACCTTAATATTGTCTTCCTAGAGAACTCAACAGCTATTTGGATAGGAGACTCAGTCACTCACAGAACTCCAGTCATAAATATTCAAAAGGAGTTACCACTTTCACTTGTCTCTGGCTCTGAGAAAAATCTTCAAAAGCCAACTTACAAAATATTAGCATAGTCATGTCTCAGATAACATGCCTGGCCCAGGCTGGATGGACACCGGGAGAAGCACAGGCAGTAGCATGAACATGGATGGACCCAGAATGTGTCTAGGGAAGACTGCTGACTCAGCAGGGTGGTAGCCGCGGGAAACACCACCAAAGAGGGAAGATGCAGATGACCTACACCAGCAGGAGGGCTCTAGCTTACGTGGATTTGCAGACAACACAGACAAATAAAACAAACTGACTTTTCAAACAGCCACTGGCAGGTTTCCTCCCATTTGTGTGTGTTCATAGAAAATCAGAGTGACAGAAAATACACCTACCACCAAACCTGGATTCCCACGCCTGGAAGGATGTCAAACTGATTCTGCGAGTAAGTTAGGAAGGACTGCAGCTTCACAATCACTAGTTATGAATGTTTTACCCATGCTCCAACAGTTGATAATGTGTTTAACTCCTGAATAAGGTATATCAAGTGCAGTCATACTGAAAGATCTCTAGCATGTGTGCTCAGTATCAGATTCCTCTTTAGATTTACCTTTCTAACTTTTAAAAATTGAAACATATTACATATACATATTTTCAAAGTGTATGTAATAATTAGATACATTAACATAATCAAATCAGGGTGATAGAGAAATCTATCCCCTAAAATATTTTTGTTTTCTTTACTCCAGGAATATCTGAATTATTCTATTCTAGCTATTTTCAAATGTTCAATCAATTAATGTTAACTATAGTTGCCATACTGATCCATTGAACACAGGTCTCACTTTTAGCTATGTCTATATCTGTACCCATTAATCAATCTCTCTTTATCCCTCCCACCTCAGTATCAGTTTTAATATCAAATGAGATGAATGTCCCTGGTTTGCCTTGATGTAAATACTAGGGCTAGACGTAAATAAGAGACCAGATAAACATCAGCCTTTTGAATTTGAAAAGTCAAAATCTCTAACCTTTAACAGTGTGGCGGTGAGGGGGTTGGGAGCAGCAGTCCAGTTATGCTCTTATTCAAAACAGACTTCTGCAAGCAAGTTTCTAGAAACTTTTAAATAATGGTTTTAAATAGTGTTAGAAGAAGTTGCTTGTAGTTATGGACTGAATGTTTGTGTCCCCCCCAAGATTCATATATTGAAGCCCTAATTGCCCATGAAATGTAATTAGAAGGCGGGGCTTTGGGGAGGTGATTAGGTCATGAGGATGGAGCCCTTATGAACGGTATGAGTACCCTTATAAGAAGAGACATAAGGAGAGAAGATTTCTCTTCATTCCGTGAGGACACAACCAGCAGGCAGCCATCTGCAAACATGCAGCAGGAACGTCACCAGGAAATGAGTCATCAGCCACCATGATCTTAGATTTCCAGCCTTCAGAACCATGAGAAATACATGTCTGTTGTGTAAGTCACCCAGTCTATAGTAAATTGATATAGCCACTGACTAAGACACTCATCAAAGTAAAAATAGGAAAGTTTCGTCAGCAATCCTCAGAAGTTCACTACAGATCATTATAAACACAAGAGAAGCAAATGTCACCTACTCAGCTTCATGTGGGGAGCACGTCCAAAGGCTAAGGTTGAGACCTCAGGCTGCTCTGCACTGACCCACTCAGGTCTACTCAAGAATAGCCTCACCCCTGTCAAAGTCCCTCCCACTCCCAAGGTACTAATATGAGGTCCTCAATGACCTCGTAGAATTGGAAGAAGATGGCCCTGTTCTCTATGTCATCAGCCTGGGCATTTATGGTGAAAAACTAGGAACACTTAGAGAAAGGTCCAGTTCATTCATCCCACAAACCTATTCCATTTCAGGCACCCTGGGGGACATTAAGGAAATAAATGACAGAATAAAGAGAAACAATCCAAAGGGAAACATTGTCTCATAAACAAGAAGACAATGCAATAGTAATTCCTTTCCTTTTCTTAAAACAAAAATCAACAAAAACCCTTTCCTCAACCTCCCATACCCTCCAGATAACTCATCCTCCACTCCCCTTCCCTGAAAAGCTTCCAGAGGAGATGCCCTAAGCAGCTGGTTCTGTCTGACTTCTGCCAGCACTCCTCCTCCTGCCCTCTTCCTCCTCCCACAGACTGACCCTGAGAGGCAGCTGTGGCCTCCATCTGGCTATCCAGTGGTCACAACTGTCCTAACCTTTCCTGACCACTCATTGGCACTTCCTGCAGCTGGCCAGTCCCACATCTGGCTCATTGGTTGTTTCCCTTATGGGTACAGGGCTGGCCCATCCTGCTTAGTCCCTAATCAGCTTAATCTTCATCTCCTGGCAGAGTTCAATACTGACCAGCAAATACAGGAGCCTGCCTGGCACCCGCGGCCACAGCCCTCTCTGTGCACCTGCTGTGTCTGCTCGCCATCACCTCTCTGGTGTCTTACTGACTGGTCTATTTATTATCTTCTCTGCCCACTAGAATGTAAGATCCAATAGGGCAGGTGATGCCTGTGTGTTCACCAGTTTACTCCCCAGTGCTCCAAATGAACTCCATGAATAGCAAAGGTCCAGTAGATAGTAGCAACTTCACGGGAAAAAAGAAACCCTAACTGGTAAAGATGTAATTTGAAATTGAGAAGTTTTTTCAAGAAAAAAATATATTATTATCAGCAACAAAAAACAGTAATTATGCTCCATGAGAAATGACAATTATGCAGAACACTGGGCAAAGAATGGGGAGGGGCAGACTCCATGATACAGCTCTGTCTGGGGACCTGAAGGCAGCAGGGAGAGGGACACATCCTCGGGGCTGAGCAGGTCTCTAAGCCGGTCTGGCACACCCAGAGCCATCTGTGTAATAAACTGAGATGGGACGTGCTTTCTACACTCTAGTTGCTTTGGAAACCGAAGAGGTCTAATTGTTATGTGTAATTTGGTAAGTATCGCTGCCTACATTTGCTGTGAATGTTCCATTATTTATGCCCCAAAACATATTCTTTGAACACTTCCATGTACCACCATCCACGCAAATATTTTGCTGAAGGCACTGTTTTTGAACAAATGAGAAATCACCAGGACAATCCCAAGGTAATATTTCACCCAGCGATGTCCTCTAACAAAGCACACCATTGTCTTAAATCACCACAATCCAAATGGTCTTGCCAAAAAGACTTATTTTATGAATAGTTGAGAAATAATTGTAAAGAAGCCATTGTCTTTCCAATTAAAGTTATGACTAATAGAGTGAAAATAGATTGAGATTTCCCAGACGATGCACGGCAGCTGAGGAAGATAAGTGAGCAATGTGAGTTTTGCTGGTCGTAAAAAGAGACAGCAGATGTAAAGCTTGAAATTGAAATTGCATGTTTAAAATCTAAATCTAAAACACAAAATCAGAAGATGATAGAAAACCCCTCAGAGGAGGGCAGTGCTCCTACCTGTGGCCAAATAGATGATGTGGACGAGTGCGTCTCTGCCCTGCACCACGTCGACAGCCACGTGGGAAAAGCGTCTGTTGTCCTCCATGAAGGATGGCATGGTGGTCACTGGCTGCACCACCTCATGCATCAGAATGAACTTCTGAGCATCCTGCAGGTTTCTCTCGGTCAGGTTCACGTACAGGCCCTGGTCCACGGTGCCACACTGCAAGAGAAGATGGGCTGTGTTACCAGAGCACCAGCCTGGACATCCACAGCTGGCTGTGGCCACCCTAGCTGGAGAGTAACTTGGAAATCAGGTAAGCCACAATGCACAACTGAAGTGTGCAAATATGTCTGCTTCTCTATTCTCCCTGCAGCCCCCATCCTTAGCATTCTTTTCATGTTAGATTTGAACTCATATCTTGGGAGTCTCCTAATCTCATCATAAATGAACTGATCAGAAGCTAAAAAAATTAAAATGATTGCTAACTTTAAGCTGCAGATGCACAGAAACTTCTCCTTTTCTGTTGAGTCACTTGACAGCTGTCTGGCTAAACACATACTATGATATCTGTCTGAGATACCAGGTAGCAAACTGAAAATGCAACAATTAATGACCTCATATAGATGCGTTTGTTTTTCTACTGTAGCAGGGGGGTCTATGAGCAAGACATGGATTTCAAGGCGATAGCACTGGGTCATTCTAATCTGTAAGGCTGAACAGCATTCACATGGGATACAAAATAATGGTGTTGGCCTTTTTGCTTTGTGCTTGTATTTCAAATTAGAAGAAATTGTTTTAAAATGGTTAGAGTCCAGGAATATGGAAGAGAACATGGCAAATTTATAAGAGAGAGAGATGCGGAGATAAGGGAAATGAGAAAGGAAAGGAGATGAGTGGGGAGAAGAGAGTAGAAAGGAATAAAGAAGGAAGAAGGAAAGAATGATATTTTGAGATAGAGCAAGTATCATGGAGATGAATTTGGGATATATACACAAGGGAAAACTCAGGCCCACACACTGCTGGGAGTTAAATTCTGAGCTGTGCTGTGGGGAGGCTGCGGGTGTTGTATAAGACTGTTTCTGGCAAGGATGGGGTAAAAAGAGGGATAGAAAGGAAAGCAAGCTCAGAATCAGAAAACCACTACCAACCTTTCTCATGTCTTTCATAAACTTTAATTTGTGGTACAAATGGTGGCTGATCCCCAGTAGAACTTCACATAAGTAGGTTTCATGGAAATGAATTTCCAGGCCTGTATCATCTGAAACTATGGTTTATAACATGTCACATCTAATGTTTGGTTTTATAACAGGTGAGAGGTGCGGATGTGTAAGATGAAAATGGCTTTTTAAAAAGTAGATGATAATTTTGTAGCATTCGATAAAATGATCCACATGCCATGAAATGATAGGATAATTGCAGGAAAAGAGACTCTGAGAGTCAAATGGATTTCATGCATCCAGTCCAATGCTTCATTTAGTATCATACCCTTGCAGGGGTACCCCATGTTCCATAGGCAAGGACTGTGTGAGTTCACGTGCGGGGTTCAGACCTGCCATGACCCAAGTACTACTCTGGCTCCATAACTCTCAAGCCACATGGAATCAGGTGAGTAGCAACTGTCCTGCCACATGGTCTCAGGTGAGGTCTCACCTCTCAGTCTCTGTCTCCTTACCTGTCCAGTGACTGGGAAAATACAGACTCTGCTCACTTCTCAGGGCTACTGTGAGACCAGCTGAGGTAATCTGTGGAAAGCACTTGTAAATTAACTGAAAGTCCTTATGCGTGCCAAAGAACAAGACAACGTGCCTGGCACTAACGAGAAGCCATTCAACTAATGGTAAATGGCAAATGCACTGGTCTTGGAGCAGGACTGCAATTCCACGGTCTGTTGAGCTTCAGTGGTCAGAGGGAAAGGAGTGAATAAACAAAGAAGGGAAGGAATCAATGAGTGAATGCACAATGTTATTGGGAGTGAGGGGAGGTGCGAGGGCATTTTATCTCATTACAGCATTAAATAGTAACATTTGGAGGTCAGGGACGTGTCGCTGTCTGTCAATACGTGTTTTTAAAAATAAAGAAGAGCTCCACTAGGCTTGATCTACTGTCTCCACAGGTGACACGCTCTAGTTCTGAGCATGACATTATGTTTGGTGGTTTACATTCCTGAAATCAGTGATGATACCTAAGGCAGAGTGGCAGTTCGCTACCTACTTACTGGGTGAAGTTTAAACACAGGTTTTGTAAGCACAGTGTTCAAAAAAAAAACAGGTATCATGAAAACCAGGAGGCGTAATATAAAAATGAGAATCTCTTGCTGTTCTCAAGGAACCCCGAGAAATTGGAGACCTAACAGGGAGATCTCAGTGGTGGGGGTGAGGCAGGATCACTCGCCACGCCTTGTCATCTTTATTTGCATATCGCCTATCTCAATCTCATCTAAGTCACCTGCCAGAATTGCCAGGACTTGGTTTGGAGGTATACTCTACTACTTCTTGGTTCTTTTGCTGGCCTAGTATAGTGAATATTCCACCCAGTGCTTCTCTTCCAAATAGCAATAGAATATATGCATTGGATCATAAGCAATCCAATGCCTGAAAATTGTCTAGCTTTGCCTCATATGCTGAACTCCCGCTGTGTCTGTGTGGGGCACTGTGTGACACCCTGGATTCACCATGCAAGAAGAAAACAAAAAAAATAGTAAAAGCACAACCATTGCTGTCATGTGCCCTACAATCCACAACCGTTGTCAGGCCAACATCTCTTCAGGTAGTATGGTCGGTAATTCTACTATTTTTTTAAATAATAAATACTCACACTTTTGTTTACTTGTTTCACAGACAACAAATCCATTCTCGTCCTAGCACACTAGTGCATGGTGGCCAAGCCCACAATCACCTAATCTCCTGCAGGAGTGCCCAATTTTAATGGCCCCTTCGTTCTCTTACTGATTTCCATCTTGCTACAAACATGCTTTGCAGGCCAGGCATGGTGGCTCATGCCTGTAATCCCAGCACTTTGGGAGGCTGAGGCAGGAGATCAGGAGTTCAAGACCAGCCTGGCCAATATGGTGAAATCCTGTCTTTACTAAAACTATAAAAATTAGCCAGGCATGGTGGTGGGCACCTGTAATCCCAGCTATTTAGGAGGCTGAGGCATAGAATTGCTTGAACTGGGCAGGCTGAGGTTGCACTGAGCCAAGATCACGCAACTGCACTCCAGCCAGGTGAGACTCTGTCTCAAAAAATGCTTTGCACGTCCTAATGGACACAGTCAGATCTCTGCACTTGACCCTCCAACAACTGCCTCCTCATCTACTTAACCACAGTTGAGGCTCTCTTTGTCCATTTCAACTCCATCCTTTCGAGTGACAGTAATCAGAGCTGCACAAAAAATTCTGGAGTCTGTCACAGTGCAGCTGTACCACTGGGCCTGGGTGATGTTTTATACCAGTGACTGCCACATGTCTTACTGAGTATCAGGGTCTGGATGACTTTGAGGATCGCAGCCTCTAGCAGGGCGGGGCTCAGAGGCACCACCTAGAGTGGTTTATATATTTTGTCTGAGAAAAATAATACTTTTTGTTGTTTTGCTACTGTTTTCATTTGACATTTCTATATTAAATGTTGAAATATCATGCACCATCTCTCCTAACCCATCTTCTTCCTGAACCGGAATCTGCTTTCTGCTTTTCTGATTAATTAGCTACTTCTAGTACATAGGTTACATAAGTACTGCACAAAATTTAAATGTCAGTAGAGAAAACAAGAGTTCTAAAAATCTAACCACTTTCCATTGTTGGTTATTGCAGACACAGGGCCTCTCATACATGTCTGGAGAGGGATCCTTATGTCAAAATTCAATTCCCACTCCCCATCTATGCCAGGCTAGATGATCTCACAAATGTCAGTGAAGAAACTTTGCCAGTATAGTTACCAAATAGACTAACATAAAAAAAATACTTAGTACATACTTGTACTAGGAGTTAAACAAAGAATCACCATAATCTGTAGGTTGAGCTCCCTTTCGAGTCTTAAATAATACTCAGAGAGGCTCAGCAATGCAAGCTTCCTGCCTGAAACACATGCCAATTTCTGCATGCTTCATTCGCTATGCATCATGGACTGGCTTCCAACACATAATGAGAGTAAGTCCTTCAGTGTGACACTGGCATTATAAAAACAGACGCTCCTGGCCTTAGAAAATGAGATTTGCTGTGTGCTCTAAATGTTTTCAGATAAACGGGCTACAAGTTACCCACTGCCTAGAGGTGGTAATGGACTACGAAGTTTACTGAGTCACCCTGTTCACTGTAAAGACTTTTGCAAGAAAAAAATCAGTGCATTAAAAATGCATTATAAATACAGTAAGCATTATTAATTACTTAATCTCGAGGATTTTATTATACAAAGGACTTTCTTAAAAGGAGTATTTCCTGTATGTAAGAGGAGAAAATAAGACAAATATGCACTTATACAACATGGGACACATAGAAGGCACCAAATAAATGATCCTAAGAGTCACTCTTCTTTGCATTTTTAGAGACAGAGTCTTGCTCTGTCACCCAGACTGGAGTGCAGTGGATGGATTACAGTTTACTGATTGAACTCCTGGGCTCAAGCAATCCTCCAGCTCAGCCTCCCAGGTAGCTAGGACTATAGCTGCTTGCCACCATGCCTGGTTAATTTATTATCATGATTTTTGTAGACACAGGGTTTCATTATGTTGTCCAGGCTTGTCTTGAAATCCTGACCTCAGGAGATCCTCTTGCCTCGGCTTCACAAAGCACTGTGATTATAGGCATGAGCCTCTGTGTTCAGTCCCAAAAAACTGTATTTATCGAATATTTTATACAGTAAATAATGCATATTAATTAGGGCTATCAAAATTTACTCCTATACTATTTCCATGCATTTTTATCCCTCCCTCCATTTTAATGAAAATATACAATAAAGGTACACAGTAGATAGATGTGTGATAAAAAAGCACATAATTTGCTCAAGGAAAGCAGTGCACGGAAAGACAACATGTAAGCCAGCCGTCTTATTTTTAATCCCACAATCCTCCAAAAGTTTAAAGACAGCGACAGGTGGGTATTGAACAATGAGAACATGTGGACACAGGGAGGGGAGCATCACACACTGGGGTCAGTTGTCGGGGGGCTAAGGGAGTAACAGTGGGGGGTGGGGAGGGTGGGGAGGGATAACATGGGGAGAAATGCTGAATATAGATGATGGGGGAATGGAGGCAAAAAACCACCTTGCCATGTATGTACCTATGCAACAACCCTGCATGATCTGCACATGTACCCTAGAACGTAAAAAAATCAAGTGTTTTTAACCCCCACCTAAAAAAGATAGCAACAAACACAAAACTCTTTCAAAACAACCAGAATTGAATGGTCCTTGCAAAAATCAAAGTAAAGTGTAAAACAGTTGAATCTTTCCACACTCTCAGTTTGGGGAAGTCCTAGGTATAGGACCCACTTCCACTACTGATCAGTAATAGTAACTAACACCCATGTAGTTGGAATGGGCTGGGATTTTGCATCTGAGAACTGAAATTGGGATCCTCACTTGGCTACTAATCAGCTGTGTGGCTCTGGCCAGGTGACCTGCCCCAGGCCCAGCATTTTACCTGCACATGGAGAAGGCATTACCCACCACAGCACTGCCGCTGGTGTGTGAGCTGATCTATCAGAAGCATCGAGCACAGCGTCTGGGACTTGGTAAAATTTACAGCCACAATGATGATGATGGTCCTAAGAAAGCTGTCAGAAAGCCCCCCAGGGAAGCCTGCTGCTGTGGGCTCAGTGTCTGCGAACTACCCAAATTCCTAACCTCCAGTGTGGCCGAATATGGAGATGGGTCTCTATGGTAGTAAATGAGGGTAAGTGATGTCACAAGGGTGAGGCCCTGGCCCAGTGGAGCTGGTGCCCTCACAAAACAGAAAGAGATACCCCAGAGATGTCTCTCTCTACACCACGTGAGGATGCAGCAAGATGTCCATCTGCAAGCCAGGAAGAGACAGCCCTCACCTGAAAATGACGCTGTTCACAATTTGGTCTTGAACGTCTAGCTTCTAAAACTGTAACAAAATAAATGTCTCTTTTTTAAGCTACCCAGTCTGCAGTGTTTTGTTACAGCAGTCCAAGCTGACAAATACACCTGCCAACTCACCAAACATGAGTAAATTGCTTCATTTCTTTGGGTCTCAGCTTCTTCGGGACACTGGGAGATGGATGACTCAGAAAGCCCTGAAAGCATGAACCTCCTGCAATTTTGTGATAAGACATGAAGGGCCTCCACCTCCTCTTCTCTCCCCAGCTGGCTGCATGGCATTCTGTCCTTCCCAACAGGGAATCCCACCACATTTGCCAATTAGTGCTCTAACCCTGCTTATGAGTCTCCACTGCTCTGTGCCCTGGACCCCATTCATTAGAATGTCATTCATTAGGGATCAGAGGTTCTGAAGACACAGAGCCCAGCATCATTAGTACTAATTGAAGCCTGGATTCCTAACCAGCAGAATGCTGGCCTTTTTCAGCTCAGTCTGAGGCATCACAGCTGACAAAAGGCCCTTTTTGGGTCCCGGCGCCACAATTCACAAAGGGCCCAGGTCTATTGACATTAGCCAGCCAAGTGTGGGGCCGTCTGTGAGGGGCCAGGGAGACAGCTGCTGCATGGTACATGCACCGTGGTTTAAATCACCCCTGCCTGTCTACACAAGGCTTCTGCATTCTTCACGTGGGATGCCGACAGTGCCCTTTGCCCCCCGAGAATTACCTGGAAGTTGGGGTTTGGGTTGGGATACGGTAGCCAGGCGGAGCGCGAGTTCTCCTGGTACTTGAAGGGCCCGGCGAAGGTCTGTGCAATGGCACTCAGGTTGAAGACACACACAGCTGAGGCCGCAATGCTGTTCCTGGGAGCCCAGGGAGAGAGAGGAGAAGGCAGTCAGAGAGCTTGGAAGCACCTGCTGCCCTCCCGCTAGGAGGCAGGCAGCAGCTGTGACCTGGATCAGTTTCTAGAGGTCTCAGGGCCAGTCTCTTAAACATCCCAAAGGATTTAAGTCAGAGTGTGAACGTGGCTCCCCTATAGAGGAGCAAACATCTTGGTAAAGAAACCAGGTTAGTTAGCATTTACCACACTTGTAATACTGACAGCCAGGATTAATTCACTCAGCTGCAAAAGGGGCAAGAGGGATTCTGAAGAGCTATCTGCTTCACCTTTCAAATTCTGGAAGAAAAAGATTTCCTTCTCCAGCGGATGGCATCTCGCAGCAGCCTTAGGCAGTTCCCTTCCTGACCTGCTTATCTGGTCACTTTGCCTGGTAGCAGGGGAAGTTGTTTCGTTTTGGTGCGCATGCATGTGGGTGTGTGTGTCTGTGTGTGTGTGTGTGTGTGTGTGTGTGTGTGTGTGTATGTCTGTGTTTTAACCAAGATATTTATTTGTCATCCTTTAAAAAAAATTAACTCAAAGTAGTTTATAAAAAGTGACTGTCTGACTCATTGTATTTTCTTTTAATTTAAAATGGAGTTTAAATTCAAAGGGTCAAAGAGAAAACTTGGACATAGCACTGACATATGAAATCCTGAAGCCGTAATTTAGAATTCAGGCTTTGCTAGAGTCATAAACGGCAGCCCTCAGAAAGTCAGTGTCCTGTGACTCAGTATGGAAACAGCAACATTATTTCGGTTAAGTAAATCTGCATTTTGAGCTCAGTATGGGTTCTCAAAGGGGAAGAGGAGATGAAGAAAGAAAGTTACATGTATTTTCCCTTGCTCTAAGACAATATCATATGCATTTCTCATCAATTATTTTTTTCCTGCATCAAAGGAAAAGTATAACAAAATCCAAACCTGAAAGACTTACCTTAGACTTGTTTTATTTAATAAATACTGAATAGGAGCTAGGCACTATTCTGAGGACTTCACTAATTCCTATTCATTTAATCCTCAAAAGGTGAAGGAAATTTACATAAGAAAAACAAGGCACAGTGAAGACAAGACTCTTCCTCAGAGTTAGCAGCTACTAAATGGGGAAGCTGGACTTGAACCCCAGGCTAACTCCAAATGCCAGGAGTTTCAATCCTTTGCAATATCTCTGGGTGAAGCAGACGAGATTCTACTGCAGGGAAGCAGAGAGTAAACACATCCTCATGGAAAGGTATGGCCTTGAGGGTAGAGATTCATTTTCACCAGAAGTCCAACACCAAGGACAAGGACCATTATGACGCATACAGGACCCCATTCTGGAAAGTAAAGGGGTGGACACCAGTTCTGGGTTTATTCACTTTGCTCTATTATCCTAACAGAGAATGGGAGAAGTTAAAACCCAGATCAGGGAAGAGCTGGCCTTTGAACATGTGAGTAGACTTCAGTGAGAACAAGGAAACAAGGATGCTGGAGTGAGAGTGGCTAGACAGGATGATTCCATCCAGCAGCCAGAGGCATGCCTTGGGCCAGGCACAGAGGCAGGCAAATGGGGGATGTTAGGAATAATAACAAAATCTCCCTGAGCCCCCTGCTGAGCACCTGATAGGGATCATCCAGTTTCTCATAGAGAACCTATAGATCCTGAGAAGACCCTGACTTACTATAAGAAAACAGCAGCACAGAGAATTTACTTCGCCCAAGTCACAGGCTGCAGGGAAATAAAGCAGGATTTGTACCTGCTTTGCATGAGGCCCCAGGTTGCCAGGTGGCTACCAGGTAAAGAAAGAACTTAATCTTCCCGCTGGCTTAACGTTTCTCTGTTCACTACACCCTGCTCTGAATGGCTGGACCTGAGCTCTGGTGTCACCCAGAGACTCCCCTGGATGTCCCAGTAACTGCCAGTCTGACCATCCTTTAATAGTGTGGTGGGAAGCCTTCCTCTTGTCCCTGTCTTATCCCCTTGTGAGCACAACTGGTATAGTACAAGCACACCCCATGGCTGCCCCTCCACCCTTTCACTTGCTGTGCTCTGGGGCAGAGAGTGGGCTTGTGTGACTCCACTGTGCCCTTCCTTCTGCCCTGCCCCTCTTCCTAGGATGGGACTGCCTACAGGAAGTACATATTCACTCACTTCTCCAGGGTCTCCAGACTCCCGGGCAGGTGAAACCAACCCGGGTCTAGATCACGACCTTGAGAATGAGTAAGCTTAAAGCTGGAATCAGAATCAACAAACTCACTTAGACACCAGACCTGCAGCCACCTGTTCCCACCTGGCTTCTATCAGCAATCAAGGTAATAATTTCAAAGAGCAATAAAAAAATCCCACCTCCCACTGCAACCTTACTACCTGTATATGCATATCTATACACATTAACACTTCACTACAATCTCCACAGTTTACTATTGATCCTACGAACAACTAATAGTAGCCACCATTTTTAGATATCTAGAAAAGAAGCCAAATCTTTAGAGACTCCATTGTAGCAGCACACCATTTCCTGCAAGCCAACCCATGCTCAAGAGAATGAGAAAACGACACAGTAGTGCTAGGGACAGAAAGAGTCAGAACAGTTACCTTTTCTCCTAGAGCTGGGAAACCTTGATGAATGTACTGAGGCAAAGCACCATTCCAAGCCCTGAAGCTCAGCCCTGTATTGGACGGCCCTTTAATTCAGAGGTAGGAAATAACTTACAACCTCTGATCCTCATTTTCTTTCCATCTGAAGCAAACTTTGTCAAGAATGTGGTTATTTTTTTAGAACAAACAATAAAGGCTGAAACATGAAAAGGAGGTGGAAAATATTGTGAAATTTGAGATGGCCATATTAGAAATGCATTCCCAAGGTCTAATGCAAGTAAGTATTCTAGAGAGAAAGAACAGATGTGGAGCTTCTCTCTATGAGTACAGATTCTGTACACTGGGTGACTTCTGACATGATGGGAATTTGCAACACTAAACAAATAGTCCGAAATAGCTGAAACTTATTTTTGCAACTATCTAAATGGACCATGCACCATCTTGGAATGTTTCGTGGTACTTTTGTAACTTCTGAAATTGCTGTTTTGTTTTGCCCCAAGTCGGGGGAATGAACAGCTAAGGAAGCAAGACTCTCCTTGTGCATGAAACTGATGCCAACGGAGCAACTGCACATTTATCTTCTGCGAACTACACTAGTTTTTAAATAAGGTTTTGGAAAGCAAATCAACTTTGGAAACTGCAATTGATTTTTTAAAGAAATTTATCAAAGAGGAAAAATAACCTCTGGGTTGAGGACCAGATTTACAAAAATGAAGATGGCCACGGAGGACTAAGGGCAGGAGTGGAGCCATCCACACTAGCCTAATTTTTCTAACCTCATGTCAGAAAGAAGACTCTTCGGGGGTAAAAGTTGTTATTAAGCAAATATTAACGCACTTTCAGCAGTGGAGAGAGCAGGAAGAGAAGGCTAATATGAAAATGAGAGGCAGGTAAAGTGGCTTTTTAGAAATGTCATTCATGGGCAGGCATCTGATGCCCAAGAGATGAAAAAGTAAATTAAAATACTGAGGAAGCAGAGAAGACAACACAGGGTGGCCAGTTGTCCTGGTTCACGCAAGAATAAGAGGTTTCCTTAGCTACAGGGCTGTCGTCAATGCCAAAACCGAGATAATCTCAGGCAATTCAGGACTGTTGGTCATCGGACTTCATTTATCAGCACTTCCAACCCATCCCAGTCTGTATCCTTTACTTTGGATACAAATATTTGGCTTTTGCTAAAAGTCCTAAGTCACCAAATGAGAGATTTCAACAGTAATCCAAATCAGAACCCATAGTGTAGAATCTGCAGCAGGACAGCCATGTGCAGGGAAGTGGTGCTCAGAGTCTCAATGTGATCCTTGACTCCTGGGTTTCACATGTGCTCCTGTTGAGTCTTACACAGCAAACCAGCTAAGGATGGGAAGTAACCCTGGGGACATGTGATACTCCACTGGACTAAGAGTGACAGAGATGAGAAACCTCATAAGCTTAAACCAGCCCAAATAATGTTCATTCTAAAGTTAAGTAACTCCCTGTCCCACCCCCAACCAAAAAATACTATAATTTTTCCAAACATATTTTAAAAGTATAATTGACATTTACAAAATGTGTGCTCAAGTTAGCTGTCTTCTAGACTAATAGTGTAAAATGCAGCTATGAAAACGTGTGTTTCAAATATGAGCAAGGTTCAAGCACGAATCCTGTTATCTCAAGGATTTCAGACTGCAGACAACACTATTTTCACTGTACACAATTGTATGACTTCCATTTAGAAAAAATATACATACGATATGTGCCAGTATTTCAGAAGCCTAGAACACAATGGCAAATCAGGAAGGAGCAATTTATAATGGAGTAATCTGATGTCACTGTATCCTAAAGACAGATAAAAACTGTCTTGATTTGCTTTATTTTTCCTATTGCCAGTCTTTCAAATCACATATCTCTGTCTAACAGGAAGTTCACTGAAAAGTCCTTTTGTTTTGTCTGTTAGTCCAGTAAAATACGAAAGATTTTCTTTAAAGCAACTTTAAAACCTCAGAGGTCAAAGAACAAAAGACTTATTCAGAATAAGTAAGAGAGAAGGGAGAGAAATTATTTCAAGTTACATACACATTGGTGGTAAAGATGCCGTAGATCAAATCCAGCTCAGGCAGGAAGAAAGTGCTCTGCAATTCGTTGTAGTAAAAGGGGACTTCCCCAGGACGGGAGCAGTTGAGGCGAGCCTTCATGAAGGTGGTCCAGGTATCCTCCAGCAGGAAGCGCCCTCCAATATCGTTCTTGCAGACCCGGGCAGCTCTGGAGAACACTGTTTTCCCACAGTCATGCTCTACGGCATTTTCTCGGAAAAAGAAGTAGGTAAAATTTCCAATGTCATAAGATGACACAAAGTTTGGTTCTGGAAACAACAGAAAAAGGAAATAATCTCAACACCATGTCACTCCTTTTTGGTCTTGACTGCTCAGTATTTCATCCAAAGAGATATGGTTTTGTTTAGATAACACCTGGCTCCTACAGGACAACTAAGAGGCCCTGTGAGCAGCTTAATGAGCTACACTGTTGGGAAACTGTATCATACCCAGATTCTTAATAATGGGAAGTCACTGGTGTGACTGCACACTCAAGTATCCTGAGCTAAATTAGGACTCAAGTTAATATGATGTTAATACAATCCGAAATTGACACCAAAGATTTGCAGTACATTTTAGAGCAATATGTATTACTTTATTTGCAAATTCTTACACAACCTTCAGAGAGGTAGAAAATACGTTTAAAATGATGAAATGTGATTCAGAATATAGGAGTCTACAGTCCTATATGTGTGTAAGACAACAAAATTATTTGACTTAACTTACATACATTCCTGAAACTGCTAAAATTAGTTTAAAACTCTAATCCCAAGGTTTTATTCTTACTCATTTCTCTATTTCTAAATGCTATTCATTAAATCAGCAAGTATCTGAATTTTATGGTGCATATTAGGATAATTATAGCAGTAACCTTTGGTGTCCAAAATTAATGGAAAGATACAGACAAGTATATTCACAAAGATACGTTTTTAGGGACAATTAGTTTGCTGGGGCCATTCAACTGGCATAATTGACATAATTTATGTGCTTTTACTAAGGACTTTAAAACAGTTTTTCATTGCTTGGAATGAAAATAAAAACTAAAACTGTAAGGTGTGTCTGGAATTAGCTTTAGCAGTTCCTGTTACTATGGCGACCACGTAACGGTGGAAAACAACTCTTATTTTCTTATTTCTGGGTTGCTTTGGAATCTATTTAGAGGAGGGAAGAGCATTGGGATGGAGACATTGCTTTGTAGTTTTCTGGTCTCATAATTAGCTTTAAAATGGGGATTCAGAAATGACAAAAATATGGCAAAGCCTTTAATCACCAAGCTTATTAGGAATTTGGGAAATATACATTATCAACCAAATTACATTGCATTTGGAGTTTTAGCTTCCTAACTTCCTGTTTGATACCAGTGACAATAGAGATGGTACACTTTCAGATACACATACTCCCTAATATTTGCTTTTAAAACTCTAATCCAAAGGTTTTATCCTTACTCATTTCTCTATTTCTAAATGCTATTCATTCAATCAGCAAGTATCTGAATTTTATGGTGCATAATAGGATAATTATAGCAGTAACCTTTGGTGTCCAAAATTAATGGAAATATACATACAACAAGTATATTCACAAAGATACGTTTTTAGGGACAATTACTTTGCTGGGGCAATTCAATTGGCCTTGTGTTTTTGCAGATCCATTTGCATTGCAATAACAACATGTCATTGGCAGGACAACTAAAAACCTGGCCATGAGATAAGCCATTAATGTTAAGAGCAAGAAACACAAACAAAAGTCATCTAAGTTCTGAAATGCAGACTGCAGACATTCACACAGGGTTGGCACTGACCACTCTGCTATTCTGTCCAGGGAGACTACTGCCAATTTTCAATCAATACCTATATTCGATATTTTCACAAAATATTTTAATTTAATCCAACTGTACATTTTAAAGATGTAACATATACTCTAAATGGTTTGTGTATGACACTTTTCCCTTCCGTACCATTCATTGTTAAGTCACTGAAGTATACCAAGTAATATACTGAGGTTTTGAAAAGAACTGATTTTAATTTATAAACTGTCAAACATATTCTCAAGTCACTATTGTTTTCACCCTAAATGACTATTAAAAAATCTTAAATTGCAAAACATTGTAAACGATGGAAGTTAGCTATCTTTACTGTAATAGCATGCTTTAATATCCTGGAGGGATGCTCACAAAAACAGCAGATTACATATTCGTAACTTGTGTTTTGGGAACGTAAGGAAAATATTGAAGGGGTGGTTAAAGAACGATTTGATGAAGCAGACCCAAAAAAGGAGCAATTCCAAAACCATTTCTAAAGAAAATAATCACTGGCATGTCTAACTGTAAAGACAATGCTACATTATCTTGGAATGGGTCCTGCACCGTGACTAAGCAAAAATAGAATTTGAGCATTATACTAAAAACAAACAACAACAACAAAAACAGCAACAAGAAACCCTTCCTAAAATGGGAAAACAAAGACAGAAGGCATAAGGGTCCAGGTGTGTCGAGCCTGGGACTTAGGTTACCAGCACCTGTGTATGAGGTTGAGGCAGAGTCCACTGAGACTTATCAAACACACTCACTACTACCCACTTCTGCTATTAACTTGGGGACAAATGGCATGAAAACTACATAGTAAATAGCTCCAGTTTCTCAGAAGTCCTGAGCAGGAAAACAAGAAAATACAAAGGAAAAAAAGATCTTTCATGGTTTCCAGCTTAAGGTTGAGTCTGTAATAAAAACAGCTGAGATCTGTAGAATGCGAACTCTTGTGCCAAGATCTGCGCTTGGTGCTTTATATGCCCATTGAACTCACAAGATTCATAGTGCTAGGTGCTGTGCTATTCTTCCCATTTCATAGATGAGGATACTAAAGCCCGGGGATTTAATAACTTGTCCAAATTCACATAACTAGCAATGGGGGAGGGGATGGAAAGTCCTGGATCCATTAGACCAGGTGTCACCAACTCCCGGGACATGACCAGTATCAGTCTATGGCCTGTTAGGAGCCAGGCCACACAGCAGGAGGTGAGCAGTAGGCAAACGAGTGTTACCTCCTGAGCTCTGCCTCCTGTCAGATCAGCAGCAGCATTAAATTCCCATAGGAGCTGGAACTCTACTGTGAACTGTGCATGCGAGGGATCTAAGTTGTGCACATCTTATGAGAATCTAATGGCTGATGATCTGAGGTGGAACAGTTTTATCCCAAAACCATCCCCTCTACCCCCACCCCAAGTTGATGGAAAACTTATCTTCTGTGAAACTGGTCCTTGGTGCCAAAAAGTTTGGGGACCACTGCATTACACTATACTGAAAAACAGTGGTTGCAAAAATAAATAAATAAAAAATCAGTTAAATGCTAGCAATATTCAATAGGATTTGATTTTCTGCTTTAGATGAACAATGGCAAGCTCTTGGCTGGACAGCTATCTTTCCATGGAGAGTGGTAAGCAGGTTTACTTAGGAACAAGCTAGTGGGGGTTTCAGACCCAACTAGAGAGACAATAAATGATCAGATGAAACTTTAAACCACAGCTATCAGGGACATCAGGCATGACACAGAAAAAAGAAAAAGTGGAAGGAAGAAGAAACAAGTTAAGGGCTTATTAAGAACATTGTCAGAAAGTGTTTGGCCCAACTCCAGAGGGTGTTTCAAGTGGGGGCGGTACCATAGCCTCAGAGAGCCAATAAATGACTCTTGGGAGGTCATGCCGTACCCTTAGTCTGCTGGAGCAAACCACGTCCACTTTTGCAGATAAGCAGAAGACTGAGTAATGGTAGGCAGATTGAAGCACAGTTTCCTCTTTCCACTGAGAGCCTCCACCATATCTCCAAACCACTGCGAACCAATGTTATCATAAGATCACAACATGCATTTTAGATAGAAATGCTCAAACACATGCTTTCCTTTCGGTTTGCAAAAACAAGAGAAGAATTTGTATTCTGTGTGGAGTGGGTGCTGTTCTCCAGTTCCCCACGCAGTGCAGGTCTTGTTTGTCAGGGAGTGAGAGAGCATTTGGAAACACAGGCTGTGGCCCTACACTGATCCTTCAGGAGGAGGCCGGGCCCCGACTGCGTGACCTGCCATTAACTAGGGAAATGCAGTTCCTTGAAAAGCAGAGCTTCTTGGAATCCGGCTAGCATCCTGTTCCTTTCCAAAGACAAGAAAAAAGTGGGAATAACTGTAAAACAAACAGTCAAATAGCTCTTATATTTATTGATAAAAATTTGGAAGTACGGGACATTAGAGTCTTGCCAGGCAGGACGGTAAGATGCATGTTGTTTTCCTTCCATTATTTAAGTTCTGTCTTTTCTCAGAATGCAATTCACAAAATAGTGTCTGTCACTCCTGAGTGAGCTGAACAAGTAAGAGGAGATTCAGGCATTTTCTTCTTGTCTACAATGGATATGAGTGCATGAAAGAGAGATCCGAGGTGCTGTTAACTAAATCAGTAACAACAGGCAGGTCAGCTGCTGTGCATATAGATGCACGGAGAGCTGTTTTCTCCAATGTTTGTAAAACATACTGAGTCATGTAATGCAATGTCGTACAAGATACATCATGTTAATAAGAATGATTCTTCATGATATAGAAACTTTTATTTTGCATGTTTACTTACAAAATAGTGACCACACAGATAGCAGTACTGAGAAGTGACTCACCATATATGTAATTACGAGTGATGCAAAGAAAAGCATCCAAAATTTTGAGAAGATTTTGATCACACAAAACCAAATACTGAGCATCCAAATAAAGCCTCCCATTCTAGATCCTTTCTATTCCAATGCCCAAAGCATCAATATGGGGGACACCAAGTTCAAATGTATGGATCTGATCACCGAGCAGATCACTGATATAAAAAATCAATGACACAGACAAAAGAAAAAGTGGGAGGAGGAAGAAACAACTTAAGGACTTATTAAATAGGAGCGTTGTCAGAAAGTGGCCCAACTCTAGAGGACGTTTCGGGGCTGTGAGAGGGGGTGCCATTTCTTTTTCTCTGTGTCATTTCTGCGTTCTTGAATAAAAAAATTTGTCTACAGTGGGAATGAATATTAAAGCCACACAGGAATCCCAACTCTACAAAAATCTTACTAGAATCAAAGTCTATTATAAATTATTTTGCAGTCAAAAGCCACCTTGTGAGACACTTGCCAAAGTCATGCTGGAAAATGAGTGTACGTGATGCATGTGGCTCTGCCCCGGCTGGACCACTGACATCTGATATGTTCTGTTGTTGCTTCTGACAGTCAGACCTAGTCTGCGAAGCTGTAAAAATTAAATGG